AAATAAAGGGAAAATATTCATATAATTACTTCAAATATTGCAGTGTATATTAATTTATTAATAATACAAAAAATACAGTAAATGTGGTAGTTTTCTCTATAGTGGTGATAGCTACACGGTTTAACTGATGAGGTACATACATCTGTGGTGGTACAAAAGTTCTATGAACTAGAATGCCATGGTTATGCGATCTATCTATGGGTAGAAACGTAGGTTAGAGGCGATATATATAATATTTATCTCTTATCTGTGGATAGAAATGTCATTTTATGTGTTGCATTTGCGGTTACTTTTATTAAAAATATATTATGAAATTTATTTGGTTTAATTATTAAGTTAATGATGATGACTTAACATTGTTATTTTCAAAAATGGCTCTAAGTCGAATGGCATCTTTGGGAGAAATATAGTAACAAGTAAATTCATTTAGTTAACCTCAAACTACTTTTTTTATTTTAGCTCTGTAAAATATGTAAAACAGCAAAAGTTGACTGCACTTCCTAGGAATATTCGTAGTTTTAAACGAATCAGTAGAAGAAATGTGAAGTCGGATTGTGATAGTTTAGCAACTCCATTTAGTGACGCTAATGTTGATCCCCGAAGTCTTAAATTATCTAAACTAATTAGACCCTTTGGATTTACAGTTTTTGTGAGTGTAGCAGTTTTGTTCAAATGTATGTAATTCTAACAACTCTTCTAGTTTAGTTCTGCATGTTTTTGTGGAGCAACAGTATGGCAATATGAGAATATGAGATCACATGCCTTATCAATGTTGAGAAGACCATATCCTTATTTTAAGCCGAATGATAATCAAAAACTAGTATGTTTAGCCTTAAATTAGAAAGACAATAAATATATTACAAACATAATTTTGTAGGGCTCTTGGAGAAGAGATCTAAACCGTTGGTGGAATGGTCTCTCACAAGGAGAAAAAATCTTTGTTCCTATAGCATTCGTGAATGTGTTGGTTTTTTTGGCATGGAGAGTGCCTAGTTTCCATCCAGTAATGTTAAAATATTTCTGTTCTAATCCTGGCAGTAAAGTAGTCTGTTGGCCAATGGTATTATCAACTTTTAGTCATTACTCCCTTTTTCATTTGTTAGCAAATATGTATGTCTTGCACAGTTTTAGTACAGGTAGGTAAAACTAAAATATTTACATTATTTTTTTGTTGAATGGTTCATATGTAAATTCACTTGAGTCATTTCAAAATATATGTACATATATTTAATTAATGTTTCTTACCAAATTTTTTATACAACTTAATTTTTTAGGGGCAGTAGCAAGTCTAGGAAAGGAACAATTTGTAGCTCTTTACTTTACTGGGGGAGTAGTTTCAAGTTTCACTAGCTTTTTATACAAAGTAGTCACAAAACAGCCTGGATTATCATTAGGGGCGGTAATTAACTTTAAATTTAATAATTCTATAAAGGCAATAAGAAAGAATAATACTTTTGTGGAGGTTACTGTCATTGATATTTATTTACAGTCATACCTACAGTATTTATGCTTAAAAAAATTCAGGAAAAGTATTTACTCATTTTTTTTTTTACCTTCTAGTCAGGAGCCATAATGACCATTCTTGGATATGTTTGCACTCAATACCCTGATACTCAACTAGGAATAATTCTTCTCCCAGTTTTTACATTTTCAGCTGGAGCTGTAAGTAATATTTATGTATTTGTTTTTTTTTAATGTTTAATAATTTTTCAATTCGTTATTTTCATTTTTTTAATTTAGGCAATTAAAGCAATTGTAGCTTTGGATGCAGCAGGGGTTGCGATGGGATGGAAAATTTTTGACCATGCTGCACACTTAGGAGGAGCTCTTTTAGGAATGTAAGTAAACATTTTTATCGTTATTGCAATTTTTCTCAGGTAAATCATATTTAATCAATATGATTATTTTATCTAGCGCATATGCGAATTGGGGGGGTCAGTATCTTTGGCATAAAAAGGATCCAATTTTGGAATTATGGCATGAATTGAGAGGTGCAATTAAGTAACTGTTCATAACAATTTTAGGCTATTTAGAGGAGTATCTTTTTAAATTATACGCCGATCCCTTATACAGATGTATATTTTACAGGAAAATAAACTATTCATTTAAGCAAATAGTTTATTTACAAAAAAATATATACTTCACCTTAAAGGTAGTGCGCAAAAAATGCTACAAATTTATCAATCAATTACGTCTGTTTCTCCAAAAGTATTACATCAAAATGAATAAAGTAAACAATGAAAAATAAACCAATATATTTAGTTTGTGAGGTGTTTAACGTGATATTTAATATGCTCCTCAATAAAAGTGGCAATGTAAAAGTAGCTGTGATCATAACCCTCCCTCAACTTGAAAATGGCTGGAACATGAGCATTTTTACAAGCTTCCACGAGATTTTCGGGTAATAATTGTTTCTCAATGTAAAATTTATCACCGCTACCCTGAAAATATATTTATTACTTTATTGTAAAAAAGAAATAAGATAAACTAAATACTCACTTGATCTATGAAAATTTCAAGAGGTGGCCCATTGTAATTTTTAACCAATTCAGTTGCATCCCATTCGAACCAATTCGCCTTTTCGCGTGAGCCCAAATATCCATTAAAAGCTTTTTCACCCCAAGGACATTTACTTGGGTTGGAAATTGGAGCAAAACCAGATACAGATTTATACAAACCGGGATTTTTAAGAGCACTTATTAAAGCTCCATGACCTCCCATGCTATAAATTTAAAAAATACATTAAAAAAGAAACTGCGTTTACTAAATCAGCTTAAAATCATCCATCAATGCCCTGATAAAATGTACTTATGATTACAATACAATATACATACATATCATTCTAAACATAAGTGAATATAAGTGAACTAGATAATTTTATTTCATTTGTAGCTTTATACTATAACTGTAATTAGTTTGGCTTCTGTCCTAATAAGATAGGGCTTTTAGTAATGCAAAATGGCCTTGATTTTAGTTTTTCCTTGAGACTAAATAGAAAGAAGCATTACTTGCAAAAACCCGGCTTTTTGTTATTTATTTATTACATCCGCAAACACAGATTACATAATTCAAATTTTAATTAATATTTATACTTAAATTGTACTGAGAAAAATACCACTATTTTAAGAAAGAACAGGAAGCTAATCGAAAACTATGGTAACAGTCTCAAATTATAGAATAAAAGGTAAAACTAAAATATTCTTTTAAATTTTTACAAAACCTAAGAGTAAAATTTTAATTAAAAATTGTGAAATTTATATT